GTGCATAAGAATTCATTCATGTTTTTTTCAAACTATTATTCTGAGCCGCCCAGAGTCACCCGTTGGGGGAGATGGGCGGCATACAAGTTTAATAATAATAATAATAATAAAAATAATAAATAGTCCGGCCCCCCAACATTCTGAGGGACTGTGAACTGGCCCCCTCTTTAAAAAGTTTGAGGACCCCTGCCCTAGATCACTGCTCTGCAGGTTCCTGGTGGTTGGATCTGACCAAGTTTTTCCAGATGCTGCTGGACCTCCCTGAAAGGCGCTCATGATAGCCCAAGGCCTCAGGCAATCCCCCGTAACTCCACGCTGAGTTACGCTGTGTAGTTCTGCCAGGCGCCAGGGGCCTCTCCCGGGCACTCAAAGGATGCTCTTTAGGAACTAGGGCTTCCGATTCCAGCCAGTAGCTACAACCTGCTGCTCCTGGACAGCCGCTTCTGTACTTGGGGCCTCAGACTGGCTCCTCTCGGAAAGGGGACCAAAGGAAGGTGCCTTAACTTAAGCCGGGCTGCTGGCGGTGTATGGCCTTGCTCCTCCCTCTGCTCTGCTCTGCTCTGCCCTGCCCCAGTTTGAAGAGGGTGACACAAAACAGGGACGAATGAAAGTGACTGAATCTGGCCTTTCCGTTCCATGAAGAAATGGCAGGAGAAGCAGCCTCTCGGTCTCCCTCCTTTGCCACTGAGAAAGAAGAGGTTAAAGGCCGGCAGGGACCCAGACCGTGGATTTTCCTCCCTGTCTGGCCGTGCCTGGATCTGTTTGGGACCTTGCCAAGCAGAAATAAACTGAGTTTCCAGAGCCTGCCTTCTTTCTGTGCGGTGCTTGCTGCTCCTCTTCCTGTCTGTCATTGGGATGACAGGTGGGGTGGGGGTGGGCTGTTTCGGGCAAGGGAGAACAAGCGGCCCCCCATCTGAGCCAGGAGCCGCAACCGGAGGCAGCCCAAGGAGCTTCTGTGAATGGCCCGGTGCTCTTGGCCGCCAGCCTGAACCTCAGGCCAAAAGCAGAGGGGAGGCCCCCCCAGCACGAGAAAGCGGAGCTGGGCCGGGTGTCCAGGGAGGGGGGGCCCGGCCTGGGGATTTTGCCTGCTTCTCATGACTCTGAGTGGCAGAGCAGCTGCCTGCCCTTTTCGGGGCTGCCTCACCTCAGCCCCCTTCGCGGCCCTCCCCGCCTTGCTGCTAAAGATAGCCGAGCCTCCTGGTCTTGCAGCCGCCCGGGCGGGACGGGTCTGTCAAGAGCAGCAGGAGCCCGAGCCTGTCCCAGACTCAAATGGCTTTGCTGTGCTACAGGAAGGGCTGTGGGCAGAGGTTTGACCCCGAGAGGAACACCCAGGGTACGTGGGCAGCGAGGTGCCTGGCTGGTGGCTGGCACAGGAGGGGCTGCGCCGGAGGTGTTGGGGCTGGATGGAATGTGTTGCATGCCTGCGCTTGGCATCTGCTTCATGCTGGCTGGGAAGCACAGTGTGTGTGCATGCACGTGCACATGCGCGCGCATCACTTTTTCCTGACTTGTGCCTTCAATGCCTGTCAGGCCATTCAACTGGTGATGCTGCTCCCAGAGTGGAGGCGTGAGGAGGCAAACCCGCTTTACTTTCTGCCTGGCCCGAAGTTGCTTGAACCCTGGAAATGCACATGCCGGCAACCCCAGACTCCCTTGTGAAGGGGTGTTTGCTGCACTCCGGTTGAGCACCCAGTCCAAAGGCACCCCTCAACCACCCAGCCAGTGTCACCCAAGAAAGTGGAGGAGGGAGAGGGGTACGCCTGCAGAGCTCCTGCCTCCCTGCGCACCCTCAGCCTGCATCTTCTGTGGAAGAAATGCCAGAGGGGGCGCTGGGCACCAGGGCTTAAGCGCCAGGCCAAATCCAGCAGCCATTTGCTTGCGGGGTGCTGAGAGGTGGGGGCGGGCAGTTCTCAAGTTGAACATTTGTTTTCGGGCGCCTAAACCTGGGGGAGGTGCATCCGTGTGCTTTTAAATTCGTAAGACGCACACGCATGGAAGCTTTACGGTGAGAGATCCAAACCTGAACTTCCTGACCACGAGAGCTCTTCGGCAGCGGAACAGCCTCCCCGAGGTGGTGGGTGCTCCATCCCTGGAGGCTTTCAAGGAAAGACTGGACGGCTGTTTGTCCAGAATGGGAGGAGGGTTCTTGCCCTGGGCAGGGGGTTGGACTAGGAGGCCAGCGAGATGCCTTCCAGCCCCAGGTTTCTATGCTCTTCGAAGAGGGGGTGGAAGGCGTGGAAGTGTGGCCCAGCAGCAGCAGCACGCAGCAGCTGGAAGGGGCACTGCGAACCTTACACGCGTACACAACCCGGGGAGCTGATGCCCAGCAGGCAGGAGAGCAGGGACGGGCGCTCTGGAGATGCAGGCTTGCAGACAACCTTGGGCCAGTGGGTGGGTGGTGCATTCTGGGAGCTGCAGCCCCACCCACTGGGAGGGTGCCACAGCAGGGCTCACCCTCCCTGCCTCTGAGCCTGGAGCTGACCAGGCGCACCTGAAATCATAGACCCTGGCTCTGTTTGTTGCCCTGGTAAGACTTCCCTCCCCAGAACAGCCTGGAAGCAGAATGGGAGGGAAGGGTGGGGGGTGCAAATAAAGCTGCTTGCTGGAACTCAGCCACCCTCCCTCCCGTTTTCTGCTCAGATGCCTGCCTCCACCACCCGGGCTTCCCCATCTTCCACGATGCCTTGAAGGTGAGCGGGTGCAACTGCACAGGCAGGCGGGGCTGCTGCAGGCCCCCTTTCCGCCGCCCTTCCTACAGAGCCAGGCACAGGTGGCACCGCAGCAGCCACGGGGGAGAGGGCGTTCAGAAGGAGAGGGGCCATTCCGGTTGAGCGAAGGATCTGCTGCTCTGTCCCCCTCCTGCCACATCAAGGCCCCCGTCCTGCCATCGCAAGGAGAATTATTGTTCCTCTAACGGGGGCCCTGCCCATCCTCCAGGCTGAAAGGCCGTCCATACATTAACTTGAGGACAGCAACACCCACGGCAGCCGCGCAATCCCTGCCAGACAGCAGGAAATGGTCTGGTTGCCATTTGCCGCGCATCTGAGGGCGACTGCGCTTGGAGAAGCGGGGCTTATACGCTGTTGTACTTCCAGGGCTGGTCTTGCTGCAAGAAACGGACTACCGACTTCTCTGAATTCCTCTCCATAAAGGTAGAGAATGCTTACCGAGTAGTGGGGTGCAAAGTGTCCCTCCTGCAAGCGCATGTGCTCTCGGATGGACGAGCAAGGCACAACACGTGCTCCATTTAGGCCTCTTGCTGCATGGGCGCATTGATTGAGAGGTCTCTTTGTCCAGTGGCTGCTTCAGCTCGACAAATATAATTGTCTTGGCACATTTGG